GAAAATATAAAAAAAGGCAGAATAGATTATTTCGATCACTTTTTTTTTCTATTAAAGATGATAAATGCTTTTACGATGTTTGGCGTAAAAATTCATCCTCATCGTTCTTTATTAATTTCTGGTGTTCTTGGTTGTTTTTTAATAATTTTTATTTTGTTATCTTATAAAGAAAAAAAGAACACAATAATTAAACAAATTCAAATTGATAATGATGAAGATATTAATTTAATTGATTTATTTAATAATGCATTTAAATTAACTTATCAAGCTGGACATGCGATTAAATTATTTAAAAATAAAAACAATAATTTAGGAAAAATTTTAAAGAAAAAATCATTTGAAAATTTACCAAGTGAACCTGTAACAATTGCAGATGTTATTTCACATTCGATTATAACCAATGGTTTAAAAAATAAATTTCAAAATCTTCAAGTATGTCGACATTTATTTATTAATTTAGTTTTTTAATTCATTTTTATAGATTGTATCAGAAGAAAAAGATCCACTTGATAAAAAAGCATTTCAAATTATTAAAGAAGAATTCAATGTTGAAAATCAATTACCAAATATCCCAATCATTAAAGACGATGAAAATCTTATGAAAGTTCCTTTATCATCAGTTGCAGTTTGGGTTGATCCTTTAGACGCAACAAAAGAATTTACAGGTTTGTTGATACTTTGAATTTTTAACTGATCTTGAGACACATTCCTCGAAGTAAAGAAATAAAAAATCCGGGAATATTTTGAAATGTATTTTAGTATTCTATTTAAAAAAAGTACTGGAAAAAGAAAGCCCTCAGTTATTATCTATAATTATTTAATATGATAATTTCATATACACTTCAATGACTCATAAGTACTAATAATTGATAAGATGCACTTTATCCTTTCATATGGCGTGAGAAAATAGGACATAATTGATATCTCGGTCAAATTGAAGTGGGTGTTTTCTTGTAAAATTTAAATGTAAAAAACAAAATTATTTTTTTAGAGAATCTCCTTCAATATGTTATGGTTATGTTATGTATTACAATAGAAAAAAAACCAACGATTGGAATTCTTTATGCACCATTTACAGATAAATTAAGTAAAGTTATTTAAAAACAATAAAGTAATATAAATAAATCTATTTATTATATATTTTATTTTTAGTATGGGGATGGGTTGGTGTTGATCGTTCACATATTAAACGCGACGAAAATAGTCTTTTAGAAACTCATAAACCAAATATTGATGAAATTATTTTATCTCGTTCACATGCTGGTGATACTCATGAAATTCTTAAAAAGATTTATCATGATAAACAATATAGAATTATTCCAGCTGCTGGTTCAGGTTAATTATAATAATAATAAAACAATTGTATTTACTTTTTTATTAATTTTTGTTAGGTTATAAAACAGTTCAAGTATTAGAAGAATATGCCGATTATTATCTTCATACAACTCCAATTAAAAAATGGGATCTTTGTGCTCCAGATGCTATTTTACGAGCAAATAATGGAATAATGACAACACTTAAAAATCAAACAATATCTTATGATCATGAAAATACAAATATGTTAATTACCGATGGACTTTTAGCAACATATAAAAGAGATCATAATGAAGTTATAAAATTCTTGATGGAATCAAATCTCACAAAATATATTTCAAAAAAAAAACATTAATTTAGGAAATATTTGTTTTTATCTCTTATACAAATTGTTATTCTTTTTGTTATATATTATGAACAAAATAAATAATCTCGTTTTGCAATAATAACATTTAATATTTAGTTAAAAAACAAATTCTTATTCATTTATCATAAATAAATAATATAATATTTTTTTTCTAATTCTTATCATTAATATTCATAAGAAAAGAAAACGAAAGATATGATAACATTTAAAAAGAAGTCAAATTTTATATATTCTAACATATTTTTTGTTTCCATTCGATGAAGTATTTTATTGTTTTTTTCTCGTTAGTTATTCTATTTGTCGCAGGAGATCGACATTTAAATGCTAATGGACCTTTTGGTAAACGACATAATGTAGGTGACGAACCAAGTCCATATGCATGTAATCGTCGTGTAGGAATTTCGTCTTCAACAACTTTAAGCATAACGAATATAAATGTATCAGCAACGAATTATTCAAGTAATGATCAAATTAATATTACTTGGACATCGGTATCAAATCCATGTGTCGATGATTTTGTTGGAATTTATTTTGTTGAAATTGATCTATCAAATGGTAAATATAAAAATAATTAATTAGAAGGGCATTATAAATTATTGTTTAATTTAGCTTGTGGTTATTTTGATTATGAATTTGTAAAAACTGGTCAAAATAAAACATCATGGCAAATGACAAATTTACGTCGTAAACTTGAATTTCGTTATTATTCTCGTGATCGAAAATGTTTGGGTAATTATACATTGATTGGCAAATCTCCAACGATTGAACCATTAAATTATAATGAAGCAACACATATTCATTTAGCTTATGGTAATCGTATTGATCAAATCTATGTGTCATATTTAACAAATTCATCTGAATATATTCCACAATGTCAATATGGATTAAATCCATCATCGTTAGATTTTCATCAAAATGGTACAACAACAACTTATACAGCATCAGATATGTGTGAAGGAAAAGCTAATACATGGGGTGCACAAACATTTATTCATCCAGGATATATGCATACTATTCTATTAGAAAATCTTCATCCATCGACAACATATTTTTATCGTGTTGGAACAGATGAACATGGTTGGTCACAAATTTATTCATTTCAAAATCGTCCAGCAAATAAAGATGAATCAGTTTATTTAATTGCTTATGGAGATATGGGTGTATCACCTGTTGAACAGGGTTCAAAATCAACAGTCGATCGTGTAACAGCAAGAGTATTAACAAATAATGTAACTTGTCTATTACATATTGGTGATATTAGTTATGCTCGAGGTATTGGCGCTCTTTGGGATTCTTTTATGACACAGATTGAACCAGTAGCAGCTCGTATACCATATATGGTTGGAATTGGTAATCATGAATATGATCATGAAACTGGAGGTAATAATAAAGATCCAAGTGGAGCTCCAGGTCCAGGTGGTTTTCGACCTAAATGGTAAATTTTATATTAAATAGGAATTTTCCATATTGTCTATTGATATTTTAGGGGTAATTATGGTACTGATTCAGGTGGTGAATGTGCTGTTCCAATGGTTCATCGTTTTCATTCACCAACAAATGGTAATGGTCTTTTTTGGTATAGTTTTGATGTTGGTCCAATTCATATAATTTATTATTCAACAGAACATGATTTTCGTCGTACATCTATTCAATACAAATGGATTGAAGCAGATCTTCAATCAGTAAATCGTTCTCGTACACCGTGGTTAATTGTTGGTTCACATCGTCATATGTTTACATCAGAATTCGAATCTCCAGTAGATTTAATTAAACTAATGCTTCAATTACATTTAGAACCATTATTTTGTAAATATCATGTTGATATTAATCTTTATGCTCATCGTCATTCGTATGAAAGATCATGTCCAATGTATCATTATAGATGTATTGATGATGGAATAACACATATATTAATTGGTATGGCTGGACAAGATCTTGATTCAGGACCATATTCAGGTGCTGAATGGAGTTTATATCATGATCAACAATTTGGATATACAACTATATTTGCTAATCAAACATATTTACATTTTAATTATTATCATAATAATAATGATCAAATTGCTGATCAATTTACACTTCACAAATAACAATTTTTTATTTTTTTTACTTTGTCATTTATTTAATTGAAATAGATTAAATAACTTTTTATTTAAAATCTAAAATGAATAAAAGAAAATTTTATTGAATTGATTTTGTAAATTGTCATAGTTTTTTACGAAGTTGATCGAGGAACTACTTTATGATAATCTTGAGGAATGTTATAAGCTCGTGTCATGTTATAATAGATGATAGATATCAATAAATAGTTAGGAAAAAGTAGTTTTTCTTGAATTTGAATATTTTTCTCAGAATATATCATTACGTTTGATGTGTTTTTGATCATAATGTATATGCTGTTATGATATTATTGTGCATGACTGCCAATGGTGGTTCATCTAGATGCATACATTTTTTTTGATAATATGAAAGTGCATTTGGTTTATCTTCCATCGATTTATAAGCCAAATCATTTTCGCGACCAGTCAAAGAGAATTGTTCAATTTCGAAAGATATCTTATAAAATGAAATTGCTTTAACGAAACTTTTCAAATCATAATAATCTGGTGAAAGCAAAATTGTCGTATTCAACCATCTTGAGGGTTTGGGTGTAATACTCCTAAGTTCGCACCCATACTCACCTCACCACTCAAGATTATAGTCATACATTCCAGGCAACTTCACGTAGACGACAGTGTACGTGCAATAGCGGCGTGTGAGTGACGGTGAATGAAGAAAGAATATCTACACCCGCATATACACACTAATATCGTCCAATATATTTTCTTTATTTATTGAGCATACCCAAGAAGTTAATCATATCATAATGTTTTGAAAAAAAAATCTCATTTTTGTAATTGATCATCCAATAAATAAGACTGGAAAAAATATATATTGAAATGCATGAAATTGTATCTTGAGGGCGTGGGTGTGTGGTAAGAGCAAGGCCCACACCCATGTTTATTTATTGATCTAAAAAAATTAAAAACTGAAAATAATCAACTAATTGATCAATAAACAAATGATATTATTGAACAATTTATTCTTGAATAACATCAATATGAACTTCGAAAATTATCTTCCGATATTCTTGAATATTTTATTAAAAATAATCAAATAAATTATATAAATGATTTAAGAACAATATTTATTTTACATAATGAATCTTGATTAGACGAATAAATCTTTAGAGGTAATGCAAGATTTTAAAAAGAAATATGATGATTGCAAAAACTCTGTTTATAATTTATAGAGAACTGGTATATCAATTTTTTCATACGATTGAGCAAGTGGATAACATGACAATTTACTTTTCCATACATGAACATTGTCAATCCATTCTTCCTAAAAACAAATGAATATTTCAACAAGTATTAATTAATAACTGATTTACTTTTGGTAAATTAATTTGTTTTTCAGGTATAATTTCTTCTTTTTCTTTAGAATCTTTATCAGTTATTGTATCGATAATAGGCGGTTGTTCAGTTAATTTAACTGTATGTTCAACACCTCCTGCAATTATTGTTTCTGTATTTTCTTCGTCAATAATAGGTTTTTTATCATTTGTTCCACGTAATGCTATTGCAGATGGATTAACATGAACAGATAATTTACGACGATGAATAGAATTTAAAGATATATAATGATCATAAAAACGAAGTAAATCAGTACGTTCCAAAGATTTTATTATTTCAACTTCAAGTTGAGCTAAATAAATTTTGTTGATATTTTTTGAAAAAATAAATAAATTTTTTTTATAACTTACGCCGATCGAAACAAAATTGATGACTGGTTATTTCATTCCAAAATTCATTTCCTTGGCTATGCATGCTTTTTGGAATTTCGACTTTTTTAACCATATAACCTTCACGTTGTTTTTTAAATATATCATCAGGCATATTCAGAATATAATCCTATTAAAATACAAGATTTTATGTAAATTTCTTTAAATAATTTCTTAATAAAATTATTCTTAATGGTATCACATTAGGAAGAAATATAACAAAAGGTTGATATTAACATATATTCGAAGCGTAACCAATAAATATTGATTTTTTTTTGTATCAGACGATTAGCATAAAAAAGCATTAAATATTAGTTAAAAGGCAATCCGATTAGTAAGTTATATTGTCAGCGAAATTAATCAAAGCTATGTCTATCTTAGGCGATCAAAGAAAAATAACATTCATTTGTTTAATCAAACGATTCTCAAATAATTCATCATATGAATAAAAAGATTTGGTTCCTTTTTAAACATCACACATACTGGTAAGCGGTTCAGGTCATAAAACATGCATTAACACTATATGTAATAATATCAAGGGGGAAAAAGCGAGACTTCATCTACTTCCGTACTGCCTTTGTACTTCCATCGTATCCTTTAGACAAGATATGCAAGGTAGTACAAGGAAGTACAATGGGAGTACAAAGAGGAGCACGATGGAAATACAAATGGAGTGTAATATGGAATTACAATGGGTCATTGTACTTCCTTGTACTCCCATTGTACTTCCATCGTACTCCCATTGTACTTCTCTGTACTCCCATCGTACTTCAAAAAGTTTTGAAGTAGACGAAGTCTCGCTTTTTTCCCCTTGAATAATATACAAACCATAAAAAATATTACAGAAGTGTGACTTTGTCGTAGTTTATTTTGTGAACTTCTCCTGTATGATATTTAGAATATTTTTCATTATTTATATTCTACGTACTCTTATCGAATCAATAAATAATTCAATACGTTGATTAACATGATCAAGTTTTCTAGCCGATTGTACAATAACTCTAAAACCTTGTACACCACCAAGTGAACGACATGCACCAGATTTTACGACATAACCCAATTGTTCTTTTGTTCTCAATTGATCAAAACAAGGTTCATAGACAAAATGACAAAATAATTCAAGTAAAGCATTGTTTTCAAGTGTTTGTTGAAAACATTGTAAATATATTCCAATAGCATGTAACTGATGAGCATCATTAAGCATTGTATATGCATAATTACAACCTAATAATAAAAGTAAATAATATGTTTATAAAATAGAATATATATAGGACTAACCTTCTGGTAGTGTTAATTCACGTTCGTTAAACCACATACTGGGAAAAAGTGGTTGATAAAAACGTTTTTCTTGAAATTTTTGTTCAATTAAACTCATATATTCAAGTGCATGCTAGAAAGAAAACTTAAAATAAAAGTTAAACAAAAAATATGTATAAATTTTTTCTATGACAATTAATCGAAAGAATTAAAATTCAAGGTTATGATCTAAATAGTAACTAATTTCTTTCACGAAAATAAGTATCGTATATTTATCATCGGTAAATCTTCCAGAGATAGATGAGTTTGATATCATGTCTTAATTTATAGTTTTACGTAAAAACGATTGAATATTTGAATAAATCGATATTAGTGTCAGTTTCTACTTACATCTTTTGTTAAATTTCCATACATTAATGAATCCGTAAAAAAACGAGTTAACATTCTTGTTATAAATGAATCGAGATCATGTGCTGTAATACCTTTAAAAAGTAAAGAAAAGTTTTTTAATCTTGTTGTTTTGTTTTTATTTTTAAACATACCATCAATACAACTAAGTAATTCATCTTTATTCCATTGATGTTCAGCTGTTAAATATGTGACACCATAACGTGCCATTCGATGAGGATCATTGCGACGAAAATTTTGTAATGATCGCTTAACCTATCAGAAGAAATATTTCAATAAATTTTAATTAATTATTAATTCAATCACTTTTTCTTTTATTATTTCAAATCGTTGAGAATTAACTTTGATATTAACCATACGATCAATAATCGTCTCAAATAATTGTTTAATTTTATGATTAAATCCATATACAGTTAACTTAAAAATAAATATTTATGTATTTTTTTTGTTTTCTACCAGGAATTAATAGTAGTTTACCTGTATACCATACTCTAAAGCATATAATTCATAATATAATCCACCAAGTTGGGCTGGATAAACAATCTCAGTTAAAGAATCTTCAACTAATCCAACATAAAGTGCATTCATATTAGAATATGATGGATCTGCACTTCCTAACGGACTAAAATCACAAAATTTAACTTTTAAAAAAAATAAGAAATTTCAATCTTACTTTCGTAATTCAAAATAAAGATATGCTTTCGGTAATCTATAAAATGTATCTTCACCATAAAAAAGTCGACAAAAGTCATTTTCCTTTAATACAACAAAAATAAATATTTCAAAATCATATTTTTATTTTACTTTTATTTTTATTGGTAATTGTGGTCGTGCGGAATGTTCTTCATTTGAAAATAATTGAAAATCAGTTGGAATAAATTCATTTGGTTTTGGTAAATGAAGTTCAGGAATAAGTTCACATGTTTCACAACGTTTAATAAGTTCTTCAGGTAAATATTCTTGTTTATATTGTGTACCATACCATTTTTCTTTTTCAGTTGCAATCGATGTAAATTCTTTACTTACAAGAAATACTCTTAAGTAAAATTTGAAATAATTTTATTCAATTAAAATATTTTTCTTTATTTACCGCATTTTACTTGGAATTAAATATTCATTAAGTTCTTCAATTATTAAATCTGGGCGAAATTCACGTATTTCATAAGGTCCCGAAAGACATTCAGTTAATGGATAATTCTGAAGAAGAAAACGAAACAATTAGATATCACAAAACTGTTTATCCAGAATAGTATGTTTAGAAAAGTAGTTTTTCTCTCCTCAAAACATTCGAGCACTAGAGCTCTCGAGTAAATTCTTACTAAGTGAAAGGAGAGGATCTGTATTATTTTTTACTTAAAAACGAATTTGAACAATCTACGTAGTTATAAATAATTGTAAGATAATATTTTCTTTGGAAAAGATATCAGCAAAAACAGAGGAGAAGTATTTGTCGAAATATCTTCCGTTAAACTGATTAGTTGTTCGTGCGATTAACGTATTCGACATGATGCAGGTTTCTTAGAAAAGTTCTTCGAAATATACACATCTATAGAAAGTTAACTTTTAATAAATGCTCTTAGTGACCTTTTTATTATCTTATAC